CCCTGGGTGGGGTGCAGCTCAGCAGAAAAGGCCCTGGGGTTCATGGTGGACAACAAGCTTCACATGAGTCAGCGGAGACGGCTGGCAACCCAGAAGGCCAACAGCATCCTGGCTGTCTGAAGAGGAGCATGGCCAGGAGATGAGGGAGAGGGATTCTCTCCTTCCATTCAGTGCTTGCTGGACCACATGCCCAGTACTGCACTGAGTTTGGGGCCCCCTGCCCCCAGTACAGGAAGGACACTGATCAACTGGAGCAAGCTCAGTGAAGAGGCACCAATACTGTCAAGCATGTGTAGACGTGCAGGGGGCTGGAGAGCTTCCCACCTGAGGAAAGGCTGAGGGAACACTCTCCAGTATGGAGACGAGAAGGCTTTGGGAAACCTCGTAGGAGCATTTCAGTACCTGTCAGGCAGTTAAGAAAATAGATCCAGGCTCTTCATTGTGGTGGATGGTGGGAAAAGGAGAGGCAAGGGACAAAAGTGGAAAGAACGTTCAGGCAGGAGATGAGGACCATGAGGTCATAACCATGAGGTCACTTACACACTGGAAGAGGTTATCTTGAGAGGCTCTGAAACCCAGACCCTTGGAGGTTTCCAAGCCTCCTTTCCCCCTACATATGGTCTCCCAACATTGAAAAAACGCTCTGGCTCAGGCAAGAATGAAGCAAAAGCCTATGGCACCAGCACAAGCTCTTCCTCCCCTGGGCTTTCTCTTCCCTGTGAGAGGGGTCTGCCACTAACCCCACACTTCTTTCACCCTCAGCTTTTGCAGCTGAATGTGCCTGGCCTTCTCACTTGACTTTGCAACCATTACCTTTGTTTTCAAGGCCCAACACATATCTTGTCACGCCCACTGTAAGCTGGCACCCACCCCGCACCTGGAGCTCACCTGGCCACAGGGGCAGGGAGAGGCCAGGCCCGCTCTGCTTGCACTGGGCACAGCCTTTTCCTGGGAACGTCCCCAAGGAGCTCTCCTCACGTGTGTCAGGCTGTGGCCTGGCCCAGGTGGCACAGGGACAAGGGCTGCTGGAGCAGGGCTGAAATAGCTCAGCTGGGAGAGCATTAGACTGAAGATCTAAAGGTTCCTGGTTCAACCCCAGGTTTCAGCAATGTTTTTCTCCCTTAGGGTCTTGCAGAGCCCGTCTGCCTTTGTCCATCCTGCCCTGGCCCTCCTTGCTCCTTCCCCTCTTGCCAGAGCACTGCCCGTGCGCTGTAGCTGCACATCTACAGGTTAGAAGGATCCTTCCTCTTGCGCCACAAGCCCCCAGCCTTCCCCTGGGCAGGACTCTCCACTCAGTGTGTCTTTGGGGTGTTCTCCAGCTGGGTCTCCTTCCCTGCTCCACAGGGATCGGGATCTCTCCACTCAGGGGTCTCTGCAAAGACTCTGTCTCTCTCCTCATGGTCATTCTCACTGGTGCACAGACTGCTCCCCTCCTCACACACATCCTTCACCTCAACCTCAGTTCCCAGACCAGGGCACACTGCCCACAGGGAGGCCACCATCTCCCCAGTCCCAGGGAGAGGCACTCCTTGCAGCTGAGCAGCACAATTGTCCCATGTTTACCACCATGAAGACACCACCCCTGTGTGTGGTCAGGCTCTCAGCCTTGGAATTAACAGCTGCCCGTGCTCAGCCACCCTGCCACAGAGACCCCAGCCAGGGCTGTCCCAGGGCACTGCTTTGCTGTCAGGACAGGCCTCAGCGCTGGAGGAGTGGGGAGGTCCCTGAGCCCACCCCACACCCGCAGCCCCAGGGAGATGGAAGCCTGCTGTCCACCTCACCTCCTGGGATGCTGGTGGGAGGAGTGGTGCAGGGCAAGCCCCAGTGACTGGAGGAGGGGTTATAGGATTTCTGCCCCTGTGTGCCCCCACCACACACCCTGGGGTGCCATCAGAGCCTGGGGGAACCTCACCCCAGAGAGGGAATTTCCCTCACCCTGTTGCACTGCTCCTGCTGTGGAGTTGGGGACAGACGTGGCAGAGAGGGGTGTTGTCCTGGGGGGCAGAGGAGGCTTAGGGGTATTCTCTTCTCCATCGACCTAGCTCAAAATGGGCCAGAGCATGGGAGAAGTGCCTGCAGCAAGAGCCTCCTCCTGCCCCATTTCCCTGCAGAGTCGGTAAAGGGGCAGCACTCTGCAGTGCAGCCCTAGGGCTGGATCAGGCCCCAGTGGAGAGCCAGTCCTGACTTCCCCTATCTCAGGAGGCTTCAGGTTCTGTTTTCTGCAGAGGGTCCCAGGGTACCTGGGGAACAACGGCACTGTGATTGGCACAGACACATCATGGGAGGAGAGTGTCTCTCCTGCTGGCAGGTTTCAAGGGACTGTAGCTCAGTGGCTGAGCAGCTCCTTTGCATGGGGGAGTTCCTGGGTTCCATCCCCAGCACCTCCAGGGGTGCTGTTGCCCTGACTCCCCAGCCAGAGGCAGGTGTGGGCTGGAGTTCAGGCTCTGGTCATCTCCAGGCCCTGTGGGTCTGTCCTGCCCAGCCAGGGCTTGGCTTTGAGGGCAGGAGGGCGGTGGCATGGCTGGGTGTGCTGCCTCGGCTGAGCACCGTCCTGGAGGAGAAGCGGGCAGCTGTGCTGGACCTGAGCTCATGTCACTGCCCGGCACCACAGAGCCACCCCACCCGCCGCCCAGGGACAGCGCTGGGCAGCAGAGTGTGCTTCCCTGTGGGGAGCCCTCAGGGAGGGCACAGAAGTCGGCAGCACGCTCGGAATCCTTTCTGGCTGCACTGAGGGATGTGCTGTGAGAGTGCTGGTCCAGCCCAGGTGTCCTTTGGGACCAGGGCCACACTGCCCTGGTGGCTTGCCAGGGGCAAGGCTCTGAGATTGTCCTTTCTCCAGGGGGAGATCCCAAACCACATGAGAAGCATTCCTTTGTGCCAGCAGGTAGGGGTGTCTGAGCTGGATGAGCCTGGGCAGGGCTGTGGGACTCCCAGCCGGAGGAATGACATTTCCTACCCTGACCCTGTCTCCAGGTGTTTCTCCTTCCACCGGCACCACTGGCTGGAGCAGAGCCCCAGTTCAGGGAACGTGGAGCTGCTGAGGTCAGGCACAGCTCGGCAGAGGTGCGACTCGTGGGGCCGGTGCCCACCTCTTATTCATGGGGTGTCTGGTGTCTCCATGCACCCTGTGCTGGTGGGATCGGGGAGGCACAAGCCTGTCCACAGACATGCCCAGGCAGCGAGAGCCAGGACATGGTGCCTTGGCTGCTCCCCCAGCAAAACCACTGGCAACCAAAACGGGGTGAGAGACACGGACTTTCACTGCAGGGTGCCCAGCCCTTGGCAACAGGGAGCCCAAACTCAGAGAAATAAGGCTGCTCTCCCATGGGCTTTCCACAGCCAAGCTCTGCCCAGTGTGGGGCAGCAGTGCTGAGGGTTGGGGTCTCACTGCGACCCCCCTCAGGTAGATCCTCAGGAGCTGCAGGAGCAGCCACAGATCTGGGGCACAGTGGCAATCCTGCTTTGCTGCAGAGAAGGGACCCAGCTGGCAGAGCCAGACTGTTAAGTCCCAAAATGCATGAAACAGGTTCTTTCTGCTCAGGGGTGCTGCCCCCTCAAGCTCACCCACGCCTGGGGCTTATTTCCTCAAGGAGGAAGAGGCAAACCTCTACCAGATGCCAGATTATGGGAGAAATATTACACCTATGGGAGGGCAGAGCTGGTGGGGCAGTCACACTGAACAGGCACTGGGCTCTTTTCCCCAGTTCCCACTTGGGGCACCTTGAGTGTGCAGATCAGTGTCCATACTGCCCAGAGGCCCCCACCATCCCATGTTCAGAAAATAACACTCCCCTTTTCATCTTTACTTCACTTTTATAAACTTATTTCTCTGAGATGCAGGGCTGGAGCTTATCCCAGTGAGAGTTCTCCAGGCTGTGTTTTTAATGCCCATGGATGTCACGCATCACTGTGGGGGTCTTGCCCTGGGAACACTGCTCTCCCATGAGGGCTGCCAGCAGGAAGGCTCTCAGGTGTGGGGCAGAGGGATGTGTGAAACTCGGCTCCCCCCAGGTGCCCCCAGGGTCAGCCCAGGGGTGGAGGAGCTCCCAGCAGGGAATGGGGCAACACTGCTATAGGAGAGGATGTTGGCAACATCTGCCTCCTCTCCACTCCTGCTCCAGGGCCAGATCCTGCTGTTTGCAGCACTATGGAGCTGCAGCTACTCCCCCCAGGCAATCCTGCCACAGACACCCAACGCACCTTCCAGCCTGCAGCAGAGAAGCCCATTGGGGAAGAGCCGGTGGAGTGCGGAGACCCACCAGCGGGAGCAGGGAGGGCAGTTGGGCAGTTTGGGCGCCAGGTCCTGCCCAGGTGCCAAACTCTTCTCCCAGCCTGGCTTCTGCACAAGGTTTCTGTGCCGTGGGTGCTGGGGCAGGTGAAACCCCAGCTGAGGGAGAAGGACCCTGGCTCAGCTCCCAGCAGCACCAGTTTTAGTGGAGGGACACAAAATCTCCACTGCCATGGAAAAGTGCCCACATGAGCATCCTCCCGGATGGGCCCTTCTCCAGGCCAGGGGCTGGAGCACAGCTTTTGGCTGCTGCACGCGTCTTGTGGGGAAGCTTTCTCCATCCCCCTGGCCCTCTAACAGCGCTGAGGGAACAGTGCCCTCATCCTCGGTGCTCCCAGCCCTCCTGTACCTGCCCACAAGTACTGCCCCTCACACAACCCAAACTGACATCCCTGGCAAGGCAGCAGGGGGGCAGGGGTGGGAGCTGGAGGGGAGCAGGAGGAGGGTTTCCCAGGGCTGCCCCGGGTCTGCAAGGCAGGAGGAACAGCCCATGGAGACTGGGGTCCTGGCAGAGCATGAGGAGAGAGAATCCCAGACACGTGTTTCCCAGGAGGTGGCTCTGCACCCTGTGCCAGGGCAGTGGGGAGCAGAGCTGCCTCCCAAGCATTGTGGGAGGTAATCCACGGGCCATGATCCCACCTGGGGCTGGCTGGGTTTTTCAGGGACCTGCGGTCACCTTAGGGCTCGCTTCTGTGAGACAAAAGCCCAGGGCTCACCCTGACATGGCAGCTCTGTTGTGGCCTCTGCACTGTGGGATCAGCGTGGCCCAGGCAGGGCCTGGGGGAAAGAGCAGCTGGAACCCTTGGGGGAGGAAAAGGGTGCTCCTACTGGGGTGCATCATGGGACCTATCAGAGAGCCATTTTTTCTAGAAACTGTCTTTGGGCAGCAGGATGGAGATGTCTCTGTCACCAAGATTATTCCCCAGGGACCATGGCCTCACGGAGCCCCGCAGGCTGACACCGAGCCTGCTGTCCCTGAGACGTGCCCCTTCCCGACCACTGTGTCTCTGTTCTCTGCTCTCCCTGAGCAGCCTCAGGGAGATGCCCTGACACCTGGCAGGGAAGCACCAGCTCTGGGTCAAAGCCCCCAGAGGCTTTTAATAAACAAATATAAGAATGCACAGCATAAAAATGGGAATAAAAATGGAGGAAACTCCAGGCTGTTTCTGCTGCCCATGGCTCAAGAGAGACAGTCCCCTGGTGCTTGCGGCTCTCCCAGCTGCACAGACCTCTCCTCCCTCCCGGCTGCACCCAGCTGTGCAGCAGGGATGGGCTCTCCTGGCCTGGGGCTCAGGGACTGCTGTGCACCAAGCTCCGGTGTCACAGCCTTTGCGTCCTCACAGGGAAGTGCCACAGGCACCTCTTCAGCATCATCATAGCCCATGCTCCCCGGGGACGGGGACGAGGTGTCTCCTTCAGCTCCAGGGACGTCGGCACTTCTCCAGGAGCGCAGGCTGCCCCCTGCAAGCAGCAAGGTCGGACGTTTCAGTTCACTCCATGGGATCTGTACACCACCACCCTCCCTGCTCCTCACCACATTCAGCTCCTTCTCCCACCCCCGGGCCTTTCAAGGAAAACTCCCATGCCAGGTTTCCTCTTCCCTGCAGGTTTGGGTGTCAGTAGGGTAGTGACTTGAGGGGCACCAGGGATGGCACCCTAGGAACAGGCAGCGCTCTCTTTCCCTCTCACCTCCAGGTGCAGCCCTGGGCCCTGCTCCCTCCTCTGGCATCCTGGGCATTTCCCACTCTCCCTGCCCAGGCACAGCATCCTCCCCCGCATCAGGAACCTCCCTGGCATCATCGTAGCCATCTGCTGGGTCACCTCCGGGCAGGACAAGGACATCTGAAAGGAGAGGGGAGTTGGTGACAGTGAGAAGATCCGTCCTGCAGAGCAGAGGATGAGAGGATGTGCAGGGACACAAAGCGCAGACACTGGGCTTGGCAGAACCACAAGTGATGCCCATGTCCTCCCCTTCTCCGATGGTGACACTCAGGGACACCTCTGTCCACCCCATGTCTGCAGGGAGATCAACCCCTTCCTGCCTCCATTACCTGGTGCTGATCCCAGACCTTTCTCCTCCTCACTGACCCCAGGGTGGGGCTGCAGCTGGGTCAGGGACTCCTCTGAATAGGAGCCTGGAGAGATGCACAGCAGGTGTTATGGAGCAAGCCCCACTGACGTGGTTCACGGTCAGCGCTGCTGGGGAAGGGGGACCCACAGAGCTGGGGCTGTGTGGGGAGGAGGGCTGGGAATTCACCCTGCTCCCCCGGGACAAACCCTGTCTCAAAGGAGCTTCCAGAGCTGGCTCAGGACAGCCCCTTCCCTCGCTCCTCGGGTGTCTCATGGGGTGCAGGGGCAGGAAGAGAGGGGCTGTCCAGCTGGGACAGTCAAAGCTGACTGGGAGAAAGCTTCTCTCCTGGTCCCAGGACCTGGATGCTCTCCCCACAGCCCCCACAGCCCCAGCACCACAGGGACCACAGGCTGGGGGGCTTCAGAGGGTCAGCTCCTGGTTGGGGCCAAAGGAAAGGGTCCTGCGGATGTGCCTCCAGGGAAGACCCACACCCACCTGAGCGATCAAACCTGGCCCGTTTCTCCCACGCTGGGCTGTACCCAATCTCCTCGTACACAGCCTCGGGGAAGGGCTCCTGGGCTCTTCTGGAGCCTGTGGACAGAGGCAGGGCTGGCACAGGGACAGGCAGAGGGGCAAAGGGACCCCACTGTGCTCCCCCAAAACGGTTCCATGTGCCACCTCAGGACTGGTCCAACAGCACGGCCCCACTGCACTGTCCAGGCACAGCTGCCACATCCCCAGTGAGGGCAGCATTGGTGTGAAGATTATCTGGGGCAGCATCACCCTCACATCATCCCTTTGGAGACAGTGCTCATGCCCCTCTGGCCTGTGCGCCATGTCCCCCTTGTCTCACCCCGGATATGTTCCCACATTTCCTCTCCACCTGGAGCTTGCCCCTACCTGCCCCTGTCCCACCAGGGGGTGGGCAGGGCTGGGCAGGGGGACAGCCTGGGGGCCTGACACCACGGTGATGGACCCTGCTGCCCCACACTCCTCCTAGCATCTCTCTTGCCCCAGAGCCCCCTCCAGCACTACCGAGAGCACTGCCAGCCTTGGCCATCCCCTCTCTGCCATTTCTCTCCTCACACCATGGCTAACTGCCCCCACCTCGGGGCTCTCTCCACCCCTTGCTGCTGGTGCCCCACAGCCAGGCACTCAACGGGGAAGCACGAGGCAGGTAGCAGCACACAGTCTCACCCTCCCGCTCTGCCTGTGCCCCTTGCTGACACCCCCCACAGCACCCTACAGCCCTACCAGGAGGTATCTCCCCCCGGCACCTCTGGGCAAGGACTCACCTCTGCGCCCAGCCCCGGCGCTCAGCACTTGCCCAGCCAGGAGGGCCAGGAGCAGGCAGACAAGGGTCCCCAGGATGATGCACATGATGACGGGCACTGAGACTCTCCCGCTGCTGCTCTGATGGCCTCGGGTGGGATCTGCATGGGAGACAACTTCGAAGGGGCAGCACCCCAGGGGTGAGTGACAGGAAAGCTTCCACCATCCTGGGTAAATTATAGCTCTCCCCAACCCCCTGCCACCACTCCAGTATCTCCTCCAGGCAGTTTCACACCCCAGCTAGGAGCCCCTTCCATCCAGCTGTGGGTCACAGCCTGGCCCCGGGGGTACCCAGACTCCGGGGAGGACAAGTTACCTGCTCGGGGTGGGGGTGTTGTCGTCCTGGGTGTAGCTGCAGAGGAGGAAAAGGAGAGCTGGGCTGAGAGAGTGGGTGTGTGGGTATCAGGAAACCTCCTCCCCAACACACCGTGTTTGTGTGTGTGTGTGTGTGTGTCTCTAGATGTCCCTGACACATCCCACCCAAATTGCCCCTCCTGTAGTGCCAGAAAGGGAGGCCGGGACAGAGCCCAGCACCTCTGCTCTGGGAGGCAGGCAGGATGGCAGAGGCAGCCCAGGGGATAGTCCTGGGGCTGCAGGGCCCCACGGGCAGTGGCCAGAGCACGGCCAGTTACACCGAGGCTGCTCCCTGCCTGGCACCGGGCTCCTGCACTCCACAGGAATGTTCTTTCTCTCGGAAGGTCGGGGTCCATGCCCGGACCGCGTGGACAAAAGGCCTTCCCTAGTTCCCTGCTAATACCCGAGCAAAGGCTCCCAGCCCTGCCACTAACCTGAGCAGCGCACAGCAGCATCTTCCTTGTGCCGGCAAGCCCCGCTGTCCCCGGGCCGGGCCCAGCAGTCCTGCAGGGATGGCTCCGTCCCCTGGCACTCCACCTGCTCCAGCCAGATGGGGCCCGTCCCCATCCCAAATGCAGCCTCATGCAGGGCAGACACCGCGGGGCCACAGCCCAGCTGCCTGCACGCCACCTCGGCATCCTGCATGTCCCATGAGTCGTCGCACACCGTCCCCCAGGAGCCACGGTGCCAGACCTCCACTCTGCCCGAGCACTCGTCCTTGCCTCCCACGGCACGAATCTTCTCCCTGGCTGGAGAAGAGTAAGACCTCCCATGGCACCGGGAGAGCAGGCAGAGCCCTGCCAGACACAGAGGGGAGCTCCCTACCTGTGCAGCTCGTGGAGTTGGGGCACGGTGCCAGCGAGGTTGGAGGCATTTCTGGCTGTCCCCCTGAAGAAGGAAACACTGTGGTGAAGGGGCTGGTTTGGGGGATCATGCAGAAGAGAGTGGGGCTGAGCTCTGCTCGGGCCTCCCTGCACCATCTGGGGCAGCAACTGAAACCCTGTCATCCATGGGACACATGCAGGACTGTGGGGGGACCCTGATTGCTCAGCCCCAGAAGGTCCCTGGCTCACAGAGCAGCAGTAGCTTGTCTGTGGAGGGGAGGCTCTTCTGAAAACCATCTGGTCTCTTCTGAGACCTCACCTGGAGATGCCTCTGCTTCCCCAGGCACTGCTGGTAACCTGGGTGGCAACTGCTGCTGGATGTGTGTGGCCGCGGTCACGTTTGTGCCACTGGCAGCACAAGGGTCTGGCATGGAAAGTAAAAGCCTCTCCAAGCTCTTTCTCTGTGTTTGGCCATGCCCTGTGGGGAGCAGGAGCTGGGGTGACACTGGTGCCTGGGTGCCTCAGAGTTACCATTGCAGGTGATGTGGATCTCCTCTTCCAGGTATTCACATGACGGTGGGTTCCAGGGTGTGGAGGGACACTGCCAGAAAGAGCTGTTTGTCTCCCCACACCGCACGTGATCCAGCCAGGCAGGGCCAGACACCCTGCCAGAGGGCAGGCGTGTTTCGAGGGATCCTCTGTCCCCGCAGCCCAGCTCCTTGCACGCCAGTGTCACCGTGTTGTCAGTGATGGAGTTAGAGCAAATGCTCCCCCATGTCCCGTTGTAGAAAACCTGCAGGCGCCCGGAGCAGCCGTCGCTGTTCTCCAGCCTCAGGGCCATGAACTCTGGGAAGAAAAGGCCCCAAAGCAGGAACAGGCTGATCTGGGGCTGTGGGAGCCAGGACACCTCTACATCCCTCCAGGACCTCAGCCAGGCAGGGGCAAGGCCACCACATCCCCCTTGCACCCAGGGGCAGAGAGAAGTCCCGGATTTACAGCCAGCCCTGCCCTTCCCACGAACCCTCGGGGACAGCTGAGCTCCCCAGGGACCCCCCGTGGGACTGAGGGTGTCCGTGCATGGGTGGGCCTTGGGCAGGAGCTCAGAGGCAGCCAGGGGCAGCCTTGGCCATGGCCGGCTCTCCCCGCGTCCTGCCCTCCCCAGGACCAGGCTCCCACCACAGCTCCTGAGGTGGCACAGACCTGAGCAGATGACTCCCGCATCCTCTTTGTGCCCGCAGTTGTGCTGCCCCCAGGGCCCAGCCGGGCAGTCCCAGAGAGCAGCTTCTGCCCCGGAGCAGTTCACACCATCCAGCCAGATCTGCCCGGAGCCTTCCCCGAAGCGAGCGGAGCCGGCTACCTCCATTGCCTCTCCGCAGCCCAGCTGGTGGCAAACGACGGCGGCATCAGACAGGTCCCAGCCGTCGTCGCAGACAGTCCCCCAGATGCCCTGGGAGTAGATCTCCACTCTCCCTGCACAGCGCCCGGCCCCGTTCACCAGCCGGACCCGCTGGCTCCCTGCAGCGGGTGGAAACCCCAGTCACTGTCAGGGCCTGCCTGCCTGCGCAGACCGTCACCTGGGTGCCTGGGCAGTGCCACTCACCCCAGCAAATGACTCCCACGTCCTCCGCAAGCCCTGCTGCCAGCGCACTGCCGGGCAGGGAGGTGTTGCAGAGGGTCAGCTTGGCCTCGTGCCCTGCACACCGGACCCCTCGCAGCCCCACGGGGCCCGTCCCTCGCTCAGGCTTTGGGGGGTTGTAGGCTGTCCCTGCCTCTCCGCACCGCAGCTGCCGGCACACCACGCTGGCCTCCTGCACGTCCCACTGCTCATCCAGGACTCTGCCCCACACCCCATCCTGGAAGATCTCCACTCGTCCGTCGCACCGGCTCCCTCCGCCCACCAGCCGCAGGGATCCAAAGCCGGCTGGGCCTGGGGAGAGCAGAGATGCCACGGCCATCAGCGGCACCGGGAGCATGGCACCCTGCAGGGAGCAGGGCGAGGGGGGATTTTCAACCAAACGGGACAAGATGGAGCCTTGTGCTGACGAGAAACAAGGGCAAAGCCTGGGCCCTCCCTGCAGCTCACAGCCAGGTCAGCTGCTGCTGGGGGCACCAGCTCCTGCCTGGGTGGGGGGATGAGGCTCTGCAGGGCTCTCTGTGTGGACGGGATGCAGTCGGCTGCAGCCAGAGGGATGGAGCAGAGCCCTGCAGCCCTGTCCTGGGCTCGCTGCACAGTACGAGGACAGAGGAGCCCGGGCCTGGCAGTGGTGCTGGGGCCTAAGCCACTGCCCTGGGGGCAGATGCCTGCCTCCGTTCAGTCCTCAGCTCTCCCAAAGTCGAGCGGTCAGTCTGAGCAGGGAAAGCCCTCCAGATGTCTCCTGGGGAAGCCAGGGTATCCCCAAGGAGAAATTCAGTCTGATACAGCCATGGAACCCCTACTTTTAGTGGCTATGTTGCACACAAGTGACAAATGGAGTTCAAGCAGCATTTTTCCAGCACTCACCTGAGCAAATGATAGCAGCAGCGTTCCCTTGGGAGCACGGCGAGGCCCCCAGGGTGGTCACTGGGCACTGTTGCAGGAGAGCTTCAGTCCCGTCACAGTGGAATGAGTCTCTCCAGACAGGGCCAGTCTCTCTCCCAAAATGTTCTCCTCCAGGAATGGATTCAGCAAACCCGCAGTTGAGTTGATGACAGAGAACGTGGGCATCCGAGAGATCCCAGCGGGAGGCACAGAGGGTCCCCCAGGTCCCCAGCACCTGGACCTCCACCCTCCCCTCACACACTGTGCTGCCGTTCACCAGTCTGATCCCTGTGTACTCTGGGGACAGAGGCGGAGAAAAGAGAGTGGATTCGTGCTTCTCTACCCTCAGTAGCTGGTGGAGAGGCCAGAGGGACCACATGCCTTTGTTCTTCTTCTGCAGTATTGTCATGCTGCAAACAAACCCATCAACGCCTCCTGTCCTCACACCTGGCCCAGCACGGTCCCTGCTCTGTACCCCATCCCCTACCACAGCCCCGGTGTTCAACAGCCCACCCTGAGTCCTTACCTGTGCAGTTCACAGCAGCGCTGTTTGCTTGGGTGCAGGGCTTGTCCCGGGGGGACCCCCTGGGGCAGGAGGCAAGGAGGGATTCATTCCCCACACACCGCAGCTCTCCATCCCACATGGGACCCACCCCTTCTCCAACGTGACTTCCTCCAGTGACAGGCAGGGCTGCGCCGCACTGCAACTCCCTGCAGAGCACATCAGCAGCCTTGGGACCAAAGTGGGAATCACAGACACTTTTCCACAGGTCCCCGTCACGGATCTCCACACGTCCTGAGCAGCGGTTCTTCCCTTCCACCAGACGGACAAATCCTGGAAATAAATCAACTGGGAATTCCCAGATCTTGGTGGCATTCCCATGCCCACATCCCACACCACCTCCATGCAAGCTGTGACCAAAATCACTCACTGCACATTTTAGAAGCTATTTAAGGAGTGATGGTGTCACAAAGGCATCCAGGCCAAGTTACACACCTTCTCTCCACCATCACAGCACTCAGGGGTGTGTGTCTATTGCAGCCTCACAGCAGACTCTGCAAACCACGTTGGCACCCTTGGGACTAAAGTGTGGGTCACACACCGCTGTACAAAGGGCCTCCTCATGGATCACTATACGTCCTCAGGAGGATCTGTGCCCTTAGAGCAGCCAAACAGATTCTGGACCAACCAATGAACCCTGGGAGTTCCCAGAGCCCTCTGGCAGTACCCTGACTACATGCCAGCTGATATCCAAGGTGGCCACAGGCAAAAAGCCCTACGACATCCTAAGCTGCTCTCAGGGGGTGCTGGTGGTACAAACACATCATGCCCAGCCCTGCTGCTCCTCAGAAATCAGCACAGCACTTGGGGATTTGTTTCTCTTCTAACATCCACAGCCACAGGAGTCTCTCCAACAAACTGCTGCTGCTGCAGAGACCTTGGGCTGCCCAGTACTGGTCCCTGGGCACTGCAGCCCCCATAGCACTTGGGGTTTGGGGAAATGGGGCCAGGTGCGTTTGGCTGCTGCAGCTTGCTCTGCCCCACTGAGCTCAGCGCCAGGCGTGAGGAGCCCCTTGGTGCCATGAGAAGTGCACCCCATGCCCACAGAGATCTTGGGCTGTTGGGATGAGGCTGGTGGATGGGACATGTCACAGGACTAAGGGACTGTGAGGATGTACCCGTGGTCAGTGGCTGGGCCACCACCCTGCTCAGGAGCCTACCCAGTACAGAGGTTCTCAGCCATGGCCAGAGTGTGCTGCTGGGCATGCATGGCCCTGCCCAGTGGCTGGGCAGAAGGCAGGAGAGTGGACAGAAGAGCAGCCCTGGGCTTACACGTGCTCCTGGTTCAAGGGTGGGCACAGAGGAGAGCCAGTAATTGCTGGCAAATCCCCTGTGGCACAGAGCAGCCAGGGGCTGGGGCAGGCAGGAGAGGCTGGGTGGCAGGTCCGCACTGCCTGCACGGTGCCATGTCCCCATGAGCAGGCTCTCATGGGAGTGACCCTGGGAGAGGAACAAGGTGCCACGTGCCACCCTGCTGTTCTAGCCAAGCCCAGTGCTCTTCCTCTCCAAGCAATCCCTTTGCTTCAGCCAAGAGACTCATGTCTGCCAGCAGGGATAACCCAAAAGTAGCTCCCCGTCTCACACCCTTCCCCAGGACGGTCGGTGGCCACAGGAGTCACTTCTGGTGCCTCTGGCATGGGGGCAGCTGGCCCGCAGCACCGCCAGACAGCTCCTGGGTGAACAGGAGGAGAAAGATGGCAATCAACAGACCGTGCAGGGCAGGGATGGAGGGTTCATCTGTGCCAGCTCAGGGACCAGGCATGGTAAGGCACCCTTGGGCAGGTTCCCACTGTCTTTCCCCAGGCACTGGGGACACCAGTAATGACAGTCCCAGCTCAGCAGTGTGACTGCCCACGTTGGGCAATGCTCTGGTGCCTGACTTTTGCTCCTTGAGGGCGCAGCCACGTTCCTTCCACAATCCCAGCCCCAGAGGTATGGAACAATTTGTCCCCTTACCTGAACACACCACTCCAGCATCATAAGCATGAACACAGTCATGTTCACCCCATCCTCCGTGTGTGCAGTCAGACAGGGCAGATTCAGTGCCATTACAGCCAACATCATCCATCCAAATGGGGCCAGATCCTCGCCCAAAGTGTCCGTACTGAGGAGCTCCAACAGCAGACCCACAGCCCAGCTGCTTACAAACCACTGCTGCATCCTTCATGCTCCAGTAGTGACCACACACGGTCCCCCACTTGCCCTGTTGTTTCACCTCCACTCTCCCAGCACAGCGCCTGCCGCCGTCCGCCAGCCTCACCTCCACAGCACCTTCAAACACTGACACAGGACCAGTCAGGACAGCGCTCACCCCCCGCACTGCGGGTCTCAGGGAAGCCCTGTGCAGGTGGAGTCCGAGGCACCAGGGTGGGAGCCCACTCCCCTCCAGGCTGTCCCCAGGGCAGTTCAGGGATCCCTTCTGTCCTCATGGGCTGTGCAAGGCTGAGGGTGCTCGGCTCCAGCCCTGCTGGGTCATTTGTGGCACCACACACTTTGGCACTTCCTTCCACCCCAATGGCCCCTCGCCCATGGTGAGCATGCCGACCTAGGGCTCCTGCTCCTCCCCAGACAGCACCCTGAAAAGGGACCAAGGGACCTGTCCCCACCAGGGCTCCCCCAGGCTCCCACGGCTACTCCTCCCCAGAGCCCCCAGCTCCCCTAAACCACAGCCTGCCCTGGGCCCCTCCCAACTCACCCTCCTCCCTCAGGACTTTCCGTGTCCCCTGTGGAGCAACATGATGGTCCCAGTGAGGCCTCCCAACCCATGCCCCCTCCTTGTCCTTGGGCATCAGCCCAGCCCTGACCTTGTCTGGGATCCCCCCAGGAAGGTCACCCCTTTACGAGCCTCTGGGAACAGATTCCCCAGTTCCCTTGTCTCCACAAGCACAACCCACCCCCGGTCAGGCCCGGGATCACTCTGACTCCGGGACAAGAGTGAAGAGCCCACATCCCTTCCTGGGTACCCCGGAGGCTGGCTGTGCCTCTGGGATGACAGAACAAAGAGCCACCAGTTAAGGCACCACCAGCTCACAGGGAACAGAGCTGGCAGATCCAGGGCCCCAGGGACGGTGCCCAAGGATGACAAATCCACACCCGGGTACCAACGGCCAGAAACGTGGGAGCCCTGGAAGCAGAAAAGCCCTTCTGCCACGCAGAGAAGCACAGGCTCAGTGAACCTGTTCACTTTCTACCCCTTGTGACATAGACACACGGGAGGAAGCCCCGTTTCCAGAGGGATCCCTGTGCTGCTCCTTGGACCCAGGGCTTTGTGGCAGGGCAGCAGGCATTTCCCCCTGCACAACTGCACCCAGAGGAGCAGCTACAGTAACTAAGGGGACAGAGGGACTCTGTCCCCATCCAGAACCTTTCGGCAGCCGTGCACCAAATGCAGGAGGATGGAACAGAAGCGAGACATTGGCTTCTGCATCTTTTCCTGCGTAACTGCAGACTGCAGGAGACAACATCACCCCTCCTGTTCTCAGGCCAAGGCCAGCACAGTCCCTGCCCTCCTCCCCTGCCCCCGGCACAGCCCCAGTGTTCAACAGCCCACCCTGAGTCCTTACCTGTGCAGTTCACAGCAGCGCTGTTTGCGTGGGTGCAGGGCTGGTCCCGGGGGGACCCCCTGGGGCAGGAGGCGAGGAGGGATTCATTCCCCACACACCGCAGCTCTCCATCCCACATGGGAGCCACCCCTTCTCCAACGTGACTTCCTCCAGCGACAGGCAGGGCTGCGCCGCACTGCAACTCCCTGCAGAGCACGTCAGCAGCCTTGGGACCAAAGTGGGAATCACAGACACTTTTCCACAGGTCCCCGTCACGGATCTCCACACGTCCTGAGCAGCGGTTCTTCCCTTCCACTAGCCGGAAAAATTCTGGAAAATAATCTAATCAACTGGGAGTTCCCAGAGCCCTCTGGCATTCACATACTCACATCCCACACCACCTCTAAGCAAGATGTGACCAAATCACCCATTGCATATCCCAGTGATAGCTTTAAGTTTCCTTGTAATATTTGCTTGAAAGGACAGATTGTGTAGAAGGTAGGTCCTTGAAACAAGCTGTTATTGTTAACAATAGGCCTATGAAGATAGTAGTTGCTTAATTGCATATATTTTGAGGATAGTGGTTGCTTAATTGGATAGCCTTGCACTTATCTACTGACCATCCAAGGTCAGCTTTGATTAAGTAGGATACGTGGTGAATGCCCAAAGATAATAACAAGAAGAAGAGTTACAAAAAGACAAGAATGGACTGATTTTGTCATGTGTGAACTTAATGAAAACAAAGATGAGTATCAATATAGACAATTTTAAGAAAAGGACAAGGTAAAGAAAATGAGCAAGGAGGAAGTAACAGCCACCGACATACTGAAACGACCACAAGGATGCACTACCACGCCTGTGTAAAGGACATTATAATATTAAAAAGAGAACCAGGGAAGGCTTATACTTATGTATATACTCGCCATAAAGATAATGAATATGTATGACCTTTTCCTATATTGACAGGATACAAACAAGTTCAGGGAGTCAGTGCTAGGTGGAATTAAGCCTCACTGGCCTGGCATGAGTGAAGGAATGCTTCCTTCAGAAACCGTAAACCTTGGTCTCTGAGAGTTTCCTTACAGACTGACTTTTGCATTAATGAAAGAGGAAGCTGTTGGGGGAGTGTTAATGTCAAAAAAGCATCCAGGCTAAGTTACACACCTTCCCTACACCATCAGAGCACTCAGGGGGGTGTGTCTATTGCAGACCCACAGCAGACTCTGCAAACCACGTTGGCACCCTTGGGACCAAAGTGTGAGTCACACACCGCTGTCCAAAGGTCTTCACCATGGATCACTATAC